CTCTGCCAACACCACAATTCAATGGCACCGATTCTTCTTTTGTTCTTCCTTCCACATTGTGCACTTTTCTCTTCCTAAGTCCTTGCTGGTTTCTGGTGGAGAAAGCACTACAGTGGACTTCCCATTTTTGAGCGGAGGATTCAGCTCTGACTCTGCCCTCTTCCTCCGTATGACCTGCCCTCTCACTCTCTCAGTCACTTGATCCTGATGGAGCAACAGGGAGGAGCTCTGGTGGCCTAGTGGCACGAAGCTGTGCTACAATCCTGAAGGCACGAGGCACGAGGTTCGAGGCCACCAGCTTCTCTGCAGGAGAAGGATGGGCAATCTCCTCCTGTGCAATTAACTGTCCCTGAAAACGCGCCAGAGGGTCAGCTATGGACCAGCTCCAACTCGACGGTCCACAACAAGAAGAAGCAACATGGGAGGCATGAACCACATGAACACTTTAAAGGTGACCAGTGTAAATGAAGAATACACATTGATTTTGAACAGTTAGTACTAATTAGAAAATAATGTAAACTAGCTTATTAATAATTCTTATATATACTATATTGGGCAAAATTGGTTATATATACTATATGGGTTCAAATTGGGGTTTTTGTCAAACATTCTTCCAGATGGTATAGCACTGGTCTGTGCATTTGCTGTACAGAGGGAACTCGTGGTTGCTGTGATGCTAAACACTGTGACACTGATGTGTCAAATGCAAGAATGGTTACCCATGGTGTGCCCACCATGTATGTTTGGTGGAGCTTCCTGATTAAAACAAGCTTGGAAGCAGGAGTGGCATCCACTTCCGAAATGGTTTGCCTCTGGAAACTCTATGAACAGTGCTCAGATCTTCTGTACATAGAGTCACTATGAGTCATCTATGACTCAATGGCCCATAACAACAACAACATATTGGGCATGTAGGCAGGAGGAACCAGTCTTTGGAGAAGGACATCATGCTTAGAAGGATAGAAGGTCAGTGCAGGTGAGGCAGACCTTGGCTGCGATGGATTGATACAGTGACTGTGGCAATGGGGGCAGGCGTGTCAGAGGCAAGAGACTGAGATTGGCTCGAGATAGGGCAGGATTCAGAGCTATTGTTCACAGGGTTGCTCTGAGTCCAAGTTGACTTGATAGCACATAACAACGTATTGACTTTATAGGTTGATTTTTACATACTGATTTTATATTGACTGCCTGCTGAAATAACAATTTTTAAAATTTCCTGGATTTAATAAAATATCACATTAAAATGAACATGCCTGCTTCTTTTTTCCCTTTTTCAATGTGGCTTCTAAGTAGAGTCAGAATGGCATATGGCGGGGAGCTCTGGTGGCCTAGTGGCAAGAAGCTGCAACTACAATCCCAGAGGTGCACGGTTCGAATCCACCAGATGCTCTGCCGGGGAAGGAGGGGCAGTCTCCTCCTGTACCAGTCAGATCTGATTTGACGGTACACGCACACAAAAATAATAAAATAAAATTTAAAAAACAAAACAAAACAAAAAAACCAAAAAACCAGAATGGCATATGGCACTCCCACTGGAGACTTGAGTTTTTTTATTGGCCAGAGCTACCTCAAAACATCTCCCAGCCTCCTGGTGGTGCTGCCTTTGCGTTAAGCTAGGCTTTCACATCCCTTCTTTCCTAGAATTTCACATGGATGCCCTCAAAACTCCTAATCTTCAAGGAGATGTGGTGGCCTGTGGCTAAGTGCTTGGCTGTCGGCTTTGGAGAGGATTTCTACCTCGGAAACTCTGTGGCCCATTTCTACTCTGCCCTGTGGGGTGGGTCACTCTGAGTCAGACTTGATGGTTTGGTGTGTTGGGGTTTGTTTTTTTTTTTTGTTTTTTTTTTTTTAATCTGTCTGTGCATACTGGCTAAGTCTATCTGCCCAGAACATTGCTTTTATCATGAAACACGCCAGCTTGGAAACTAAAACTAGCTCCCAACTGAGGACATAAAGTCCAAACTCCCCATAATAACAGCTTCTACTTTAAAAGTTTTATTATGCACCTTCTGTGTGTTACCCTATGTAATCTTCCGGATCATCCGGCATCAAACCTTCCAGAATGGTGGTTTTCTAACTGGAGCAAAAAGCAGGCAGCATTTGGCTGAGCTGGGGGAAGCATCTTTGATCTGAAAAATTGTTCCAAAAATGATGCAGTTAAAACACTGAAATAATAATAATTCTTTTCACTTTCAATGGCTTGTCCAGTACCTCACAATCAATTACAAGGTACTTAATATCTGTAAATGTATTAGTTAAACTATTTTTACACCACTTAAGAGAAATAAAAATAGAATTGAGAGAAGAAACTTCTATATTTGCATCTCAGAAAAGTTAAACCGGAAATACAAGCTCTAAAATCTCCTTGTTAGTCTGTGTGAGGTTCAAGGTTCTAATATATACAGCCTGGTCACAAAGCAGGGACATTTCAATTTGAAATGCTTTAGTAAAACAATGAAAATAGAATCTGCCAAGTTTGGAAGACATCAAGATTCCTCAAGCACCTCATACATTCAACACTGGTGAAGTTAATAGTTCATAAATTGTATTGATGGTAGTGTAGGGGAGGAAGGCCTGGTAACTAAAGTAGGTGTGAAATGCCAAGAAAAGTACTTGATTTTGGCATGCCATGTAAAAGGAAAAAGGGGAATGGATAAATAAAGGGAATCTGGCATTACCATTAGGAGATGTCCTTCCAAGACCTAAAATAGCTCTTTAGGAATACAAATTCAGAAATACAATTGGAATATAAATAAAATTAGAAATACAATTTCCAGTAAGGGTTTGTTCACCTTTCATGGTTAAGAAGATAGACGCCCTTATGTCTCACAGGTTTGTCTTGATATGCTTATCGCACACTCCCTCCATGCTGTTGTGAGGAAGTGATTCAGCTGACCCTTAGTGGGATTTCAGAGGCTGTTAATCCCACCGGAAAAGAGTACCATTTTTTTCCCCATGGAGCAGCTAGTGGATTTGAACCACCTGCCTTTGGGTTGGCAGCACAATTCCTTATCCACTATGCCACCAGAGACACAAGATATTTGCAGACATAGAATAGAGAGGGGGGGCGGAAAATGAGGAAGTCACTGCAGGTTAACCTGGTAACAACAGTCAAGAAATCAAAAGACATGATGCATTGGAAAATCTGCTGTCAAGGACCTCTCCAAAGTGCTAAAGGGCAAGGATGTCAATTTAAAGACTAAGGTGCACCTGATCCAAGCCTTGGGCTTCTCAATTAATTTCTATGCATCTAAAATTTGGGTAACGAATAAGGATGACAGAAGAAGAATCAATGGCTTTGACTTGTGGTGTTGAAGAAGAGTTCTGAACATTGCATGGACTCTGAAAAGAAAACAAAATCTACCTTTGTGAAAGTGCAAACTGGGCAGTAAAACTTTGTTTCACATACTTTAGGCACACTGTTAGAAGTCTTGGGGGGAAGGGGGGAAGACAACTTGTTGGGAAAGGTGGAAGGTCAGAGAAAGAAGGGGAGACCCTCAAGAAGATGGAGTGACATGGTGACTGTAAAAAGGAGTCGATTAAGAGATTGTGGAGTGGTGCAAAGTTCAGGTCTATTGCTCAGGGGTCTCTATGAGCCACAGTTAACTAACTCCATGGTACCGAACAACAGCATTTATTTCTAGGTGGACAAGTGAGTGAAACAGAGAAGGTGGCATGAAAATTCTTTCCAAAGACTGCAACTTAACTTTTGAATTGGCTGTTGGGCTTTTATAATCAGCTTAATACTTGACAAGCATCTGTTTCAGCCTGGCTTAGCAGGTAATGCTTATATTCGATGGCAGTGCTAATTGCAAGGCAACAATGCATTTAGTTTATGAACAAAGATTCCATGTCAAGATTCAACTCAGGAGTTTTGAATTGTGGAGTCTTCAAGACTGCCTCCCTTTCACAACATAGACCTTTCTGGCATACACATTTCTTTTCGTCAGATTGGATAGATCTTAACAAAATGGCTAAGAGTCGTTGGACCTATGTGTCTTGAAATCAGACCAATAGGCCTTTTACCGTTTACTGTGTGTCTCTTAGTTTCAGTTATCTCTTCTAGCAGTAATATTACTGAGAATAATCTTTTCCTCACAAATGTTTTAAGACTTCAATGAGA